AGAATAGCAGGGCTAACACCCTTTCCCTGATCTGCTAATTTTTGAGGACGCGCAACTCAGCATTCACTTTACGCCATACTACAGGCTTTCAAATAGATTAATCAAAGCAAAAAATGTAATCTGATGTAAAAGCTAAAGAACGAATTTTATTTCTCTTACATCTCAGCTTCTACTCTTATAGAAGTCATCTAGAGTTAAAAGGGATCTTTAAGGACCCAGCTTTGGAAAACCTTTATTTTTATATCTTTATGAGTTTCTGTAATTATTATCTTTATTTCACTTACATTTACCCCTTCGTTATTGGGCTCTTAGGTGTACCTCTGTGTTCACAATTTGTTGTGAATATAAGTGTATTTAAAAAATAACGTCAGAGCTGCAGGAGACCTTGGAGATGATTTAACTCCCTTGTTTTCTAGGTGAAACTTAGATGTGTAAGAAAGTGACTTTTCCCCTCTAGTCTCTAAGGTCTGAGCATACGCAGTCATTAAAATGACTTGAATAAATAACTTACTTAGGATCTTACAACCCCTTTAATACCAGAGATGGGGTTAAAACCCAAGTAGTCTTCTTTGCATCAAGTCCAGTCCTGCTAGGGTCATCTCTCTTATGCCTAGAAGCCAACATTTCAATCTGAAAGCAGTAATCTTTCGAAAATATTTTTTGCTTTGGTTAATGAGATGAGTTAGGGTTGTCAGTTAGTCAGACATAACTCCTAAACCTGCTGCAAATCTAAAGGAAAAGGTCATGTGTTAGAATCCTATAAAGTTATATCAGTCAAACAAATTAGTTCAGATCAATTTAGACGTTTGACTAATCGAATAAAGACACTATAGTCCTGGAACAAAAAGCATGGCTCACAAGATTTTTTCTTTCTTTCTTTCATTTCTTTTTTGTTGTTAACTTTTTTTTTTTTTTTTACTGTATTTGCTTACTCTTTCCTCCTGTCTCTATATATACATATATATACTTCTTTTTTTGCTGAACCATTTGCAAATAAATTGCAGACATCATGAACTTTAATACTAATTTCTTCAGCATGTATCTCCTTAAGGATATTCTATCACATAGCCTCAATAAGATTATCATTATTTAAGAAGATAATATATTCAAATTCTCCCAATTATCCCCAAAATGTCTTTACTTTTACCTCAAAAATATTTTTTTGATTCATGATCCAGTATTCACACATTGTGTTTAGTTGTCATGACTTAATCTACATCAGCCATTAATCACTTTTCTTTATGACTTCCTGACATTTTTGAAAAGACCAGCCCAGTCATCTTACAAATTGTCCCACATTGTGATTTTTCCTAATTATTCCGTCAAAATCAGAGTCAGATCAAACATTTTTGACAAAAATACCATACAGGTGATGCTGTGTACCTTACCGCATCCCACCATGAAACACCTAATGTTGAGAGCCAGTGTTTGTGATGCTAGGTTTAATCACTTAGTTAAGGTGGTGACTGTCAAATCTTTCCATTGTAAAGTGACAGTTTTCCTTATTTAATAAGTAACCTGTGGAAATGCTTTAAGACTATGAATATATCTTGTTCCCCAACAACTTATCACCCAGTGGTTCTATCATCCGTTCATGATCATTTCCTGAATTACAAGATTGCCAGTTACCAGTACCAATCCTGCAGAGACCAAGAACAATTAGAGATAGTGACTAAGAACATCAGAAGAATCATTTATTATAAACTAAGTTTGAGCAGGATTAAGATTTGGCTTCAGACATGGTACATATTTGCATATGATTCTATGAAAGAAATTGAGGGCATCTCCCCATCACATCCCTGATAGGATTTTTCCCCATTATAAACAAATTTCTGGAAATTGTCCATGTATGATGTTATTCACCTGAAATAATTTTTTTCAGGGGCCTTTGCTAGATCTTTTTCTCTTCTCCAGTAATTGGATTTCCTTCCTGAGAGATTAAAAATAATTTAGAGAGGAAGTAGGTGCATTGGAGAGGAGATAATAGATGTAGTTAATAAATGTGAGAAAAATGTAGAAGCAAAAAAATATATTAACGGTGTTTTGGGTTGCTGAAAAAATATCAAAAGCTTATAATATGTGTTTGGCTATTTGGAAATATTTTTAGATAGATGATATTCATCATAATAGTTTATTAGATATATTTTATGGGTCTTAGGGTATAATGGGGAAAATACTGCAGTTTGAAGTCAGAACATCTTAGGTCCCTGCTATACCAGTTACTATCTGTAAGTGACCTCATGCAAGTTGCGTAATGTTTCTGAACCACCCCTCCCAGGATTATTAGGAGAATCATAAGAGAAGTATAATATATACTTATTACCTGGGAAAATAAGAATAGCATTACATTAAGTATTTTTTAAAATAATAACATGCACTAATGAATCATAACCTCAGAATAGAGGGAACTAATTGCATTTATTAAAAAGGAAGAGGCTTTTTAAAAAATGATTTAGCAATAGAAGTTTAGATTTCATCAAAAAGAGTTTGAAGGGGCTTCAGTAGTCATATTATAACACCCTCATTTTTCAGGTAAGAAATCAGGCCTTACTGGAGACATTCAAGCAAAGGTTGGACAACTACTTTTCCAGAACAGAAAGGAAACTCATGCATCAGAAAAGGTTTGAGCTTGATGACTGATAAGATCTCCCTTTACTCTTAAGTTCCCAGTTCTATGATATATTTTGTTTGACACAAAAATTAGTATTGTTATAATCATTTCTAAGACCTACACAATGTATTCTAAAATTCTCTTATCCCTTTTCTCCCTCTCCAGGTTTCAGGGCTATAACTAGAAGGTAACCCCTGATTGGATATTTGCCTAAACAATAACAAACATTTGCTATAATGTCTGGAAACTAGGGCCAAGTAAAAGGACAGCCAGACTGCTGCCACCTGTTCTCACCATCAGGTGGTTTGTGTGGCTTTTGGACTTAGCACAACTTAATGATAAATAACTACAAAATGAATGGTGCAAGATTTAGAAGACCTCAAACTAGCAAGTAAATCTGAAAATGATTAATTCACTCAATTGTCTCCAGTATTTTCTAGGAACAAGTATAAATATATATACCATAATCTTGATATTGGTGACTACAGAGAATAGCTTTGGGGATTTAGGCAGACTTAAGAAAATTGCTGACTGTTAGCTCTTTAGTTCAATTGTACATCTGGGAAAATATTTGAAAAAATAGTATATATAATTGAATGACTAGAGAAAAGGAAATAAATCATAATGTTAATTTTATTTTCCAAATTCTCAATAAGTAAATTATATTACTTTTATAATATGTTAAACTTTATTTCATTTAAAGGAAGAGACATATATTGTTTAAGGAATGTATATTAAAAGACAATAAGACAAGAAAATAATTTTAACTTAAGAAAATTCATACCAACACACTTTGGCACTCTTTATCTATGTCTTGTCAGACTTCACAACAACTGTCATTTGTCACCATGAATTGACACATTTGTCACCAATAAGGGGGAGGTAGGAATAGAGGCAGTATAGTGTACCAGTCTCTGAAACTTACAGAACATTTAAAGATTTCATACTTTCTGCCTCTCTGACCTCTGGTTGAAAAAATCAATAAATATGAATTTTAACCCAAAGAAATACAAGAATAAGGGCTGGCTGGTTAGCTCAGCTGCTTAGAGCATGGTGCTGATAAAAGTAAGATCAAAGGTTTGGATCCCTGTACCGTCCAGCCTCCAAAAAAAAAAAAGGAATCAGAAAAAGAAAACCAGATTTTGGCATTAAGAATAGCAATTATATGCATTTCTAAGGTGTTATAAGTAAGGAAATCAGATGTGTTTTCTTTTTTCCTGTGAGATGTAGAAAGTCCAGTTTGCTGTGTATCCTCCTGAAGTACAGTGACTATGCTATATTAGTTCAGCGATTCAAAAGGCTCAGGGTCTCCTGGAAGACGTTTTGTACTTTTGTATTTTTTAATTTCCCACAAAACAATGGTTTTATTTAATACTTATTTCCATAAAAGTTGTCTTATCAGCTGTTAGATCTTATCAGACTGTTTTCTAACTGGGAATCCGAAAGAACTCTAGTTTGGAACTTTTGCTGACAACATTTATCATGCTTCACCTTGTTCTTTGGCAGAGATGAGAAAGCTGTACTATTTTTTTGTGTGTTTTTCTTTTTAGTAAATTTTTATTTTGAGATTGTTGTAGATGCACATGCAGTTGTAAGAAATAATGCAGAGCTCTCTTGTGCCCTCTGCCCAGTTTTCCACAGTGGTAACATCTTACAAAACTGGGATACAATATCACATCCAGAATATTGATACTCATACAGGAAAGCTACAGAACATTTCAATTATAAATATCTCTCATGTTGCCTTTTTATAGCAACACCCTTTTCCCTCTTACCCCCATCCCCTCCTTAACCTCTAATGTCTTCCATTTCTTTAATTCTGTCATTTCAAGAATGTTATATAAATGGAATCATACAGTATGTAACCTTTTAGGATTGGCTTTTATCACTCAGCATAATTCTCCAGGCTGCTGCATATATCTATACCTCATCCTTTTTATTGCTGAGTAGTATTCTATGGTATAGATATGTCACTTTGTTCAACCGTTAACCCACTGAAGAACATCTGGGTGTTTACCAATTTTTGACAGTTATGAATAAAAATTCTACAAACATTCACATACAGGTTTTTCTGTGAACATAAGTTTACATTTCTCTAGGATAAATGCCCAGCCTGGCCAGTTAGCTCACTTAGCTAGAGCTCAGCCTTGTAACACCAAGGTCAAGGGTTCAGATCCCCTTACTGGCCAGCAGCAAGGAAAAAAAAAAAAAAACTCAGGAATGCAGTTGCTGGGTCATATGGTAGTACCATGTTTAAATTCTTAAGAAACTGCCAAACTGCTTACCAGAGTGGCTGTACCATTTTACATTCTCACCAGGAATATGTAAGTGATAGTTTTCCACATCCTCACCAGCATTTGGTGTTGTCACTGTTTTTTTTATTTCAGCCATACTGATACGTGTGCAACACCACCTCATTGTGGTTTTAATTTGCATTTCCCTAATGGCTAATGATGTTGAACATCTTTTCATGTGCTTATTTGCCATTTATTCCCTCTGATGAAATAATCTTCTCATGTCTTTTGCCTGTTTTCTAATTGGATTACTTGTGTTTTTATTGTTGAGTTTTTAGTGTTCTTTGTATCTTCTGTTACTAGTTCTTTGTCAGATAAATAGTTTGCAAATATTTTCTCCCAGTTTGTAGCTTGTCTTTTCTTCTTAATGGTGTCTTTCACTCCTCTTAACGGTATCTTTTACAAAGTAAAAGTTTTTAATGTTGATGAAGTCTAATTTATCAGTTTTTCTCTTCTGAATTATGCTTTTGATGTCAAGTTTACGAACTCCTAGCTCTAAAGCCTTAAGATTCTCATATTTTTCTAAAAGTTATAATAGTTTTATGTTTTACTTCAAAGTCCTTGATTCATTTTGAGTTAATCTTTGTATAAGAGATTTAATTTGAGCTTAAATTTTGTGACTGTAGATGTACCATTTGTTGAAAAAGACTATCCTTTCTTAATTGCTTTTACATCTTTTCCAAAAATCAGTTGAACATATTTATGAGTTCTGTATACTGTTCCATTGATCTTTTTGTCTGCTCCTCCACCAGTACCATGCAGTATTGATTACTGGAGCTACATAAGTGTTGAAATCAGATGGACTGATTCTTCCCACTTTATTCTTTGTTTTTCAGATTTGTTTTAGCTATTCTAGTCCCTTTGCTTTACATATAAATTTTAGAATAATCTTGCCTATGTTTATAAGAAATCTTGCCGGGATCTTGATATCACATTAAGCCTGTATATCCATTTTGGGAAAATGGGCATTCTTACTATGTTGAGCCTTCTAGTCTACGAACATGGTATGATTCTCTGTTTAGGTTTTGATTTCTTTCATCAGCATTTAAGTTTTCAATGTACACATCCTATACATGTTTTGTTAGATTTACCCATAAATCTTTTTTTTCCTTTTTTTGGAGTGATTATAAATGGTATTATAGTTTTAATTTCAGTGTGCACTTTAATGTTCATTGCTAGTTTGTAGAAATACAATTGATTTCTGTATGTTTATCTTGTATCCTGTGACCTTACCAAACTCACTTATTAGTTCCAGGAGGTCCTTTGTAGATTCCTTGGGATCTTCTTATTCACAATTATGTCATCTGCAGGTAGGGTTAACTTTATTTTCCTCCTTTATGATCTTTTATTTCCTTTTCTTGCCTCACTGCACTGGGTAGAATTTCCAGCAGTGTGTTTAAGAGTGCTGAGAGAAATTATCTTTTCTTGCTCACAATCTTATGGGAAAGTATTGTCTTTCACCATTAAGGATAGTGTAGGCTGTAGGGGATTTTTTTTATAGATGCTCTCTATCAAGTTGAAGAGGTCCCCCTTCTTTTCCTATTTTTCTAAGAGTTTTTACCATGAATGGGTGTTTTGCCAAATACTTTTTCTGCATCTATTGATATGATCATATGATTTTTCTTCTTTGGTTTATTAATATGTGGACAATGTGGATTGATTTCCAAATATTGAACCAACCTTCCTTCCCTGGAATAAATCCTACTTGGTTAAGGTTTATAATTATATATTGCTGAAATCTATTTGCTAACATTTTGTTAAGCATTTTATGTCTATTTCATAAGGGATATTTTTGTAGTTTTTTTTTGTACTGACTTTGTCTAGTTTTAATATCAGGATAATACTAACTTCATAAAATAAGTTGTCAGATTTATTATGTATGTAGAGCTGTTTGTAGTACTCCTGTTATCTGTTTGATGTCTGCAAGGTCTGTAGTGATAACATACCCTGTTTCATTCCTGATAGAGATAATTTGTGTCTTCTCCTTTTCTTTTTTAGTCTTGCTAGTAGGTTTGTCAGCTTTCTAAGAA